ATGGATGGATGGATGGATGGATGGATGGATGGATGGATGGATGGATTGTGATAAGAGTTGTACGAGCCCCCAATAAAATGATTTTTTTAAAAAGTTACAGCCTGGGAAACTCACAGGGGACAATTCTGTTCTGTCCTGCAGGCCCCCTAGGAGACTGATTCAACTGAATGGCAGTGAGGTTTTCTGGTCTGTTCCTTTGCTTTTGGTTTTGGGGGTGCTCATGCAGGGCCCATACTGGAAGCACCATGCCCCTGCTGAGTACCAGCTGCCTTACTCTCCCTGCATTACGGCGCTCAAACCTCACAGCAACCTCTTGTGATCGTCTTGCATGCCGGGTAAAGGAACCAAGCCTGCACACAGTCACTGGGCTGGCAAAAATGTGAACCCAAGAGGGACACTTGGGGCCACCCTCCGTCTCTCCCCTATGCCTGGTTAGCTCCACAGCCTGTACCGAGGGACCTCACAGTTTGTGAACCATTGAAAAGATAACTGCATTTCCCACCACTTTTTTGGAAGCGCCTCATGAGGCCCTGGGGGATGGCTAAGCCTTCCACTACTAGCTATCAGCTTGATGGTTTGAGGCCTGGCAACCTGCTTCCCCAAGTCCAGTCTTGCAAACTCGACGGAGCGCCTTTACTGTGCGCACGTGGGCTTGCCGGGACCTGGTAGGCACTGCGTTGTAACTAATGAGGACTCCATGTAGCTTACACTAGCACAACACAGTTAAGTTCCTTTATTGTATACTTTGTATCTCATTTAGTCTAACCCACGCCTCCGATAGGTTGGCTGCACTGACAGGCTGCAGGATTTGGGCAACCAGATCCCCTAGGAAGGTCAGGGGAGAAACGTGTGTGTGTCATTTAGACCCTGAAACACGTGGCAGGGGTAGTCATTTCTCTTGGGGGTGGGTAGGAGAAGAGGGGTCACCGCAGGCCTCCCATATGGTGTGGGGCGGTAGGAGAGGGCGGGCATGGGGAGGAATGTGGGAAGCGGAGAGGAAGTGGCCACTGGGGGGCTGCGGAAGGGAAGAGACAGTTGGTGGGGTGCAGGCTGTGAAACGGGAGGGGCCAGGCGACAGAAAGGGAAGCGAACGCTGGTGGGGACAGCCCGTGGGGTCAGAAGAGTGGAGGTAACCTCTCCCCACTCTCCCGCAACTCCTTCCTGCGTTTCCTTCCATGAAGCTCCGGGAGGAACGCCCACCTTCCTCCCGTCCCCACCTCCTGCGAGAAGAGAAGGGGCCTTAGGGTCCAGGGATGGGGAGGCAGGTGTAGGAAGGGGCTCCCCCAGGGCTGAGGATGGCGTGGTCTGTGTCCGAGCTCGGGGTCTCGGCGGTGGCGTGGGTGGGGCACTAGGTCACCGGCCCTGCTGTACTTTCCGGGCGGCGGAAGAAATCAGCTCTCCCAAGGGTGGAGTCGCCTGCCTGTCCCCTGACCCACCCGGGAGTGAACGCAGGAATGTGCAGAGGGCAGAGGTGGGCGTGGGGTTCTGAGGGCGGCGGAAACGGGAAGTGAGGCTGGGGAGCAGGGAGCCGCTCTTGGAGGGGCTCTGGGCTGTTGAGCAGCCCCCCTGGCCAGTGCCCCTCCCCCGGAACTCCGGGGGGCCGGAGCTCACCGTTCAGCTGCTGCCCCGACTCCCACAACTCCAGTCCCCAGGCGGCTGGGCCACCCTGGGCACTGGGCCACACACTCTTGGGAGCTGTCGTCCCTGTCCCTGCTCGCCTAGCTTCAGAAGGCGACCCGGGGTTAGGGGTGCCCAGAGCCCTTCCCACCTCCCTCTAGTTTTCTTTCTAGCTAGAGACCAGCCCCTCCAGGGGGAGAGCCACGAGTGCCCATCACAGTCCTGTCACCCCCTCCAGAGGGGCCTTGCTCTTTGAAGCAACTGCCCTTCAAAACGGAGACCCTGCATTTCGGCCTGTGTGATAAAACTTAAGGGGAGTGTGTCTGTGTCTGTGTGTCTGTCTGGTGTGGGGGGGTGGAGCCTGACCTTCACACACCTCTCCCTCCTTCAGCCTGCCTCTCCCTGAGCTGCTTCAGGGGGATCAAGCCTCCTGATTTTCTTAGCTACTTGCTAATTTGGAGGTTCCCTTAAAAGAATGAGACTCTCTGAATTAGCTTTGGCATTTCTTTCCAATTCCACGGCGGATTCTTTTGAAGGTTTCTGGGCTCCCCTCCCTCCATACACACCCCTGACCAACAGAGACACAGAACTGCAGGTTTCAAAGAGGAGACAAAGCAAGTTTGTTGTCTTAGAGTTTGGGACCATGGTGCAAAGGGGAGCGCTCTTGCTCACATGGCAAGCTGGGGTCAATAGAAAAGGCAGTAGATGGGGCGCATGCCCCATTCTGTACAATATAGAAGAATCTGATATAGATACTTTGTATAAAAGCCACTTGTCCTCATTTGTGTCCTTCTGCTGGTCAGCCGGGTTGGGGTCACTGGGGGACAGAGAAGCTGGGGTGGTAGGCCAGGGCTGGGGGCCACCCTGTGGTCCTCGTCCTCTGGCTGCCCCTCTGCAGCATCACTTTGGGTCCTTGGTGGGGGCGTAGCAAAGCTCCAGTGGCCGGGACACCTTCCAGAACTTCTCATTCACGAGCTCCAGGGTCAGTGAGCCGTTCAGCGTCTGGGGAAGGGGAGAGGGGGAACATTGGAGGGGAGAAATGGCAAAGGCAAAAGGTGCACCCCCCCCACCCCACCGCCCCGGGGAGAGAGAGAAAACAATAAAGAGGGAGGGGGTGAGGCAAAAGAACGCGGAGGGAGACAGGGGAGAGGAGGGCTGGTGAGTAAGAGGCCAAGACCGGAGTGCGGCGGTGCAAAGCGGCCACGCCTCGCCCAGCTCACCGTGAAAGCTCCGCCCCCAGGGGCGATGTAGATGGTGTACTGCTTCTCGCTGACGCCCTCCAGGCTGGGCAAGGTGGGCTCCTCGGGGCCATCAGTTCCTCCGGCACCCCCACCCTCCCCACCGCCCCCATCAGGTCCTCCAGCATCCGGGGCACCCCCTCCAGGTCCTCCTGGCTCCCCTGCCTCTTGCTGCTGCCTCCGCTCCAGGGCGATGCGCAGGGCCAAGTACTTGGAGAGATGGTCCACGGTGGCATTCCCGGTGGTCTTCACATACCTGCGAGGGAAAGGGCGTGGGGAGCCTCAGAGAAGGAAGGCAGGGGGTCTGCGAGGGGGGTCTTCCCGAAGGGCCTCTGGGCTCCGTCTTTGGTTCGTGCTCTGGGGAAAGGCGGGGGGCTCCTCACCTAGTCTGGCAGTATTCGCCCTTCTCCACGAGCAGGGGGTGGGGCCGGAACACGAGCTCGATTTCTCCTCCTGGCTCGGGGGGACTGGGGGCCCCAGGAGGGCTTGGGGGCCCCAGGGTGCCGCCTCCCAGAGTCCCTCCCCGGTCGCCAGAGTCCTCAGACCCAGCACCCCCACCGACCCCTCCGGTGCAGCCTCCCCCGGTGCCTACACTGCTCCCCCCTGCGCCCCCTCCGCGGGGTCGCTTGGGAGCAGGGCCAGGGGTGGAGTCGGGAGCGGAGTCTGAGCTCACGTCCTCTCCGTCCCCTTCTCCTTCCCCAGGCTCTCCTTCACCCCCACTCATCGTGGTGGTCTGATCCGACCCCGGGATCTGCCGCCGCACGCGCTGGGCCCTGTGGAGGAAAGTGGGTGAGGTTAGGAAACCTCCAGGATACCGGCGGTGGACTTTAAACTTCAGATAATTTGGCGCAGGAATATGTAATATTTCACTATGCACCGACTCTGGTGGAGCGCCCCGAGTATTTTGCCCTGTCTAGCTTATCCTTTGAAGCTGGTACTTAGTTATATTCACCCTATTACAAAGCTGGGGAGACAAAGTCGCTTGCTTCAGATGGTCAGAGCTCACTTAGCAAAGTGTGATTCCAGAACCAGTGGCGTTATCATCCCCTGGGAGGCGGTTGCAATGCAGAATGTTAGATCTGATTCCTGACCAAATGACGCAAGATTCCCGTCTGAGCAAGACTCGGCTAATTTAGAAAGACATTCAAGTTTGAGAAATGTTGGCTAAGGTGGTAACTTAGTACTCCCCAGCAGTATGACCGAGTGTAAGGTCAAGATCACTGCTGTTCCAATGTCTAGAAAGGAGGCTGTTTGCCTCTCACGAACTGTAGTACCAGGTGCTTACTAAGAAGCAGGCTTTCTATCCATGGCTTCCAGGCCTGAGGAGCAGGCTAGGGCTGGCTCCTAGGATTAGGGTTATGGTTCCTTATGAGCCAGCAGCAAGGCCAGCACGGTGGGCTCCACCAGTGCCAGTACCGCCGCCCACTGCTGCCATGCTCTGTACCTGTGCATGGCCTGCATGCGCAGGCCCTCCTCGATGCTGGAGCTCAGCGCCTGCTGGTTGTGCAGACGACTCAGGCGGATGAGCACCCGGTCTTGGTGGGCCTCGTACTCCTCCCGGCTGGGATAGATCTTAGAAATGAGGGCATCGAAGTTGGGGTCTGGCCGCAGGGACCGCTTGGATACCAGCTTCTTGCGACACGTGGGACACTCCTTGTTCCTGGGAGAGGGGAGGCCCCTGTGGTTAGTCACCTGGGCAGTGAGGTCCAGCACCAGCAACAGTGCCCTGGCCCTGTTCAGCCCAGCAACAAAAGGACCCTCCGGTTACCCGCTCCTCAGGGCCGTGACGATGCAGTCGGAGCAGAATCGGTGGAGGCACTCCTTGGTCGTCATTGTGTTCTTGAGCATGTCCAGGCAGATGGGGCACATGAGCTCCGAGTGCAGCGACCGAGGGGAGACGGCAATCTCAGTGCCATCCATGATGGCTTCCTGGAGGCATCAGAGGGGGCAGTGGGTTGGGGGAGGGGGGCTGGCTGTGGACTCCAGCGGTCTATGATACACGAGTGTGGAGACCTTTAGGGAGATGGTACACATTGGGTGCTACGTGTTGGCTGCTTGGGGATTCAGAGACAAGAGAGGGGTGACTGAGTGAGAGAAGGCAGGACAGAAAGGGCCTGCGCCGGTCACCAGGAGTCGGCCTCTGCCATCAGAGGACCTGAGGTGTGGGGCACAGCCCCGGGGAAGAGACCTCAGCCCGAATGCCGGACCAGAACGCTCAGGGGTGTGGTCAGGGACACTTCCATTTTCATAAGCTCTGGAATGGACTTCTGACTCCTGACAACCCCCATGGGTGTCCGAGGAGATAAAACTGGGCCGCACACATAGGGCTTTGGCTGGCTGGTTTTTCTGCTGTGGATCGCCAGGCCTGTCTTTTGCGTGACTCTTTACGCTTTTCCTTAGCAGCGTACTGTGTTAACGGTTCACAACCCCCAGCACCACACAAGCTAAGGCGAGCCTTAGAGGCCCCGACAGAAGGCGTCGGGCAGGGAAGGTCATTTCTGCGTCTGCTGACTACCTTTCGAACATAGGCTGTAGTGTTTCTTCTGCCTCCCTGGCCGCGCTGTTTAGAGGGCGAAAATGAGAATAAATGTAACCGTGTTTACATTTCTCGGGTTAAGGTAACTTAAAGGTAGGGCCAGAAAGTCTGGTGCCAGGCGGGGTTGGGAGAGAGGAGCAGAGAATGAAGAAGAGGCTGTGCGAGGGGGAGTCCCGGCGGGCGCGGGAGGTGTGGGAGGAAGGGGCCAACTGTAAGGGAGGCTCCCCGTCACCTGCGGTGTCCGGTGCAGCTCGTACAGACTCAGTTCCCACGTTTTGCTGGCATTCTGGGCATTCGCTGGCGTCGTCATGGTGACCAGACCCCGATCCCCCACCAGAGTCCCGCTGCGGAGGAGA